CTTCCTCCAGCCCTAAAAAAATCAGAATTTCTACACGACAAAGATATTCCTGCTTGCCAGACCCTCCTGTCCAACAGGTTAAAACTTTCATTCCTCCATCCACCCTTCGAGACTCCTCCCACCCTTCCTGGCACAACCCATGTAAGGTGGTGAGCAGTCACATGCACATAATCTTACCCAACCGAGTCTTGAATTCAATTTTGTTTTCAGGATCTTCATCTTTCCTAAGAAGAAAGAGAAGCATTACAGTAAGTGTTTGCATGCCTCCTCTTCCTCCTCTCCGGGAGGCCTCTGCACGCAGGAGCAGAGCGCCCTGAAACACTTACTTGGTTTCCTTTTGGGGCTTCTCCATCATTTCCTCCTCTTCCTTCTCTTTGCTGGCAATCTCAGCCCGTACCTGGCCACAAAGCAAATCCATGCATTACAGACCAATCCATGATACAGCTGCTCATCTGAGCCAGCAAGAGTTCCTCCACCAGATCCCCAACCCCTCTTAAACCTCTCCCAAAAAGAGCAAGCTATTCCAAGAACACACTGACAACGCTAGACTGAAGTGTCTATAAACAGTGAATACTACCTTCTCCCCACCCTCTGCGCCAGTAGAGAAGAGGAGAGAACAGAGGAATACGAGTGGAACTCTGGCAAGCCAAGCGCTGCTCAGAGCAACATGGTGCTATCTGTGCTCACCTTCTGCAGCAGCGCAAAATCCAGACCCTTCACCAAGTGAGTGTGCTCCATGTCACCACCCAAGAACTTGGACTCCTGGATCAACTGTCTCCTCTTCTCTGCAGCTGACTTATCCCTGTGCAACAAAAATAGAGCCAATTATGAGAGAGTCACTCTGGAGTAGACTGGCAACACAAGGCCTGGCCATAGGCTCACGTACGCCTCTGCAGTGGGCCCCACAGCTCTGTAGTTCGCAGTCGTGCTGATCAGCTCTGTTTCCTCGTAGTCCTTGTTGACTCCATCTCTCCTCTCCTTGGCTCGATCCCTATACTTCTCAGCCAGCTCCCTCTCACGCTCTATCTCCTGCTGGCGCAGCTTTGCATAATAGCTGGGGTTGGAGAAACAGCTCAGTGTTAGAGCTACAGGGTTACACTTATAACGCCCGGTCAGCTAACACAGCCCCCGAAGGCCCCAGCACATGCCTTTTCTGCTCCCTACTCCATCCCCAAACATGGGCTAAAGCACCAAGGGACACAGCACGCTTTGAAAACACTAGTCAAGATGAAACTGTTCTACAGGTTCACTGGAGAGGAGCCTAGCCCCTTCTAAAGGGAAGGGCCTCGAGCACAGTTCTGCTGCACAGGTGTGCACCAGGGGAAATGCTCACTAGTACAGATACCCCAGCACTGTCCAGATCTGCCAGTCACTTGCAGAGCGCTCTCCCACTTCTTCTGGCAGAGAAGCTTCGCCCCCACCCTGCTGCTACCCTTCCACATCCATTCCCACAAGCAGTGGCAGTCACTCAGTCCAAACCCTTCTCACTCTACTTGGCTCCTTTGCTCTTGCTCCAAAGTCTCAAACTAGTCCCGCCCATTTAGGGTCCTCTTTGGTAGCCCAAGCTGCTGAAGAATTGCTTCCATGGGAAGGAGATGACATGGGCCGATGTCTCTCGATGCATCATTTTCCCCATTTACCTTTTCTTCTTCCTTCTGCGAGCGGCTGGATCTTCATCTTCGTTGTACTCCCGGGGCATCCTGGAGAAGGGTGAGAAACCACACACATCATAAGCTGCACAGACTCACATCATCGAAGGCAGCTAGACAGAACAGTAACTCAGGAACTACAAGGCACTGAGATACTCAAAGGGTTTCACAGAACGACAAACCAAAGCTGCCTCTCGGGACCCTTTACGCAGTTGTTTAAAAACATGCAAAATCCACTCTGTCATTCCCAAGAGTTCTGACCAACTTATTTATCCAACCAACTCCAATAACACATACACAATTTGGACCTGAGCACAAAGCAAGGGCAAAGTCTGCTCCTTGGCCCTGCCTGCACACTCAAGTTAGCCACTGTAGAGCGCAGGCAGAGAGAGTCAAACAGAAACAGTCTTGAAGGGAGAGAGGCCATGCTTGGTCCCACAGCTGTGTGAAATGCATTCTACTCACTCATGGTGGCGAGATTTGGAGGGTGGCGCAGATGTTGGCGCAGCCCGCGGGGTCATGAGAAGCTTTCGGAAGTCTTCATTGGTCAACTTGGATCTGCAGAGAAGACAAGGTAAAAATAACAATCATCTCCCAAAGAAAGATCAGCCTGAGGGGTGGGTACCGCAGAGACCGAGGGATCGCCAGGGCATCCTGTGTGACAGGATCGAACACAGGGCAGCCGTGGAGGGAACCTGGAGGCTGCGTCGGTCCCTCTCAGCCTCCTGACATGAGGATGGGCATCGTGACCCTGAGGCCAGCAGGCCTGGCTCGATCCCGCCCCGCCGGCCGGGCGCTGTGCTCACTGG